CTGACGACCATAGGTTGTCAACAGTCAATTTTCGCATTCTTGGACGCTGATCGGATGAAGCCGACCGTTCAGTGGTGGCCTCGAGGTAAACTGTCATGTGTGAAATATTCATTAACACATCAAAGCCCAATGAGTAGCATTCACTGTTTAGATAACGTATTGCGCCTTGTTTACAGTTCCATCTCCAGGTTGGTGATAATCACCTGTAGACGAGGCCTGCAGACGTGCACTGAACGAATTGGCAAAGTAGTTGTGTCTCGTTTTTCAGGTTGCGGTTCGAATAACTCCGGAACTTGTTGACTCAAGGCACTGAAGGATACGTCAACGATCTGTGGCATTCTTCCTACCGTTCATAATCATTGTCGAATACCTTTAAGGGTTAAAATGTGTGCTCTACGCTCTGTTGATCGTAGAAGTTCACTTTCTTTTCTCCTCCCCACTCCCCATCCACCTTGCGTATTCGTATTTTGTGTACATTGTGCGTTTGGTAGCGATCAAGGTATTTCGTTGTGTCGCCGCTGCTGCTGCTGACTGCATAATCTCTATATTTTCACCCTCTTCCTCTCTCTGTCCACAGTCCCCGGAATTATCGGTACCATGCAGGCCGCGGAGGCGATCAAACTGATCACAGGAATCGGGAGTGAGTGACTGTCGGTACAAGATTGGACAGGTTGCCACAGTCTTTTGTTGTTGGTTGCGTCCACTGGACGCAGTGGTCGACCTTCATATATTACACTGGGTCACATAAGTGGCGTTAAGCTCCCGGGATGGGGATGGGTGGTTAGAGACACTGAGTGATATGGCTGGATGTCGCAAACGGTGGCTCTCATGCATCTACTCACTAGCCTTGCAACCCCAGTCTATATGGGTTTTCTATCTTCCCCTTGGATTTGCTCTCAACATTCTAATCTTCATTCTACACTTTTCTTCATATGGGCAGCCAAAATACAGCAACCAGAACCGCCGCGTGAAAATGCTCACGGTTAATGGTTGAAAAGTGAACTGCGTTTTGCCCCTCACCTCACAAGTTTGTTTAAATATGCTGTTTTTTTCGTTCCACTATGAGTGTCCATAATTCCCCTCTGGCGGTTTTCTCGTTCGTCACCAATCAAGATCAATGTGTCATTATGTCTCTGCACTTTAGATCTATCCACAACGCTCAATGGATGTGCATTAGCTGTTTTCCTTTTATCGGTCCACCGTGTTCCGCCACACATTTGATTGAAGTTTTGACAATCGTTGAAATTTTTCACGTTCGTCTTCACCATTCATATGAGTGCTAATTACTCCGAGTATCGTTGATGCACCTTCGATACGTAAACCAACAAACAAATGTTGCCTGTGGTACAGTCTTGTTGCGTCTGAATTAGGATCTCAGCGCGCAACCCGAATGGTTGTAGTTCGAATTCCGGCAGAGCTAGAATGAAAGTGCGCCAGTATGCACAACCCGAAAGAAATATAAATTTCTGAGGATTGCAACTCACTCGGACAATTGGGACAATGCACAATACGTTGTGTCTAGTTAAATAAATAAATGTCCTTTTACTTCCTTTTTTATTTATTGAATATAAAAATGTACAAACAACATTCAGGAGGAGGGGGGCGGGGTCATGAAAGGGCCGCCTGGGAAGACGGACGGCGATGGAGCAGTTTGAGTCCGGACTATTGGGTACAGATTATCTACTATTCCATTTGAAGGAACTGGTGATCTAAACCGGGAGACAGTGGTGAATCACCTAAGGCCCCATTGGCCGAAGCATGGTATCCACTCTTACGATGACAACGTTGTCCATCGTCTAATTCTGTTGCAATGATTGGATTTGAATCTTGCGAACCATTATGTGCCAATCGCCATTACGCAATCCTTTCAATTATTACTACCACTAGCTGTAGGCTAATTCGATCAGTGGTCAAGTGTTTACTATGCTTGGTGATCCCGGATTCGATCCTCGGTCGGATCAATGGATTCGCGCACTGCTGAGACCCTTATTCAGGTCGCCCTCTAGCTTTTCAGTTCACGTTTCATTTGCTCTCTGTAAACGCTGAAATTCGCCATATACCCAAATTTGATCCTTCACTACTCTCATACAACTAGACAATCACATCCAACCGTTGTGGACATTCATTTTGTTGGATGTCTAATAAATAAAAAATCAATTATCCCGGGCAACTACTCATGAGTAACTACGAGCTAAAGGGGAATTATCAAACCAGCCTAATAGTTTTGTGAACCGTTAACCCGAAACATGCATAGAAGACCGGATTTGATGGGTGGTTTGTGATTGGATTTAGCACATAGTCTACTGTGCCTCCCTTCTTTGTTGTCGGGACGAAAAAAATTAACTGAGTGACCATTACTGAAGACAACATCCGGAACAAACACGAATTAGTGATTCGGTTCAGCCCCATGTACGAGCTGGTTGGCTCAGTGATAACAAACACACGTCTGACGCCAGACTGTTTGGGAATATGTATTTATATATTTCACACTTGTCTGAGGCCAGACTGTATCATTAGTCCACTGAACTTTTCAATTTTCCCTTCGATCCTACTTTCAACTTTTCCTGTATTTCTCCTAATGTTCATTCAAACGGCAGCCGAAAGATAACAACCAAAATCGGTGCATGGTTAATGGTTGTACGAACTGAACTGACTGAGACTGTGTGCCAAGCAAATCATGGCACAATAATATTTATGAAAAAGAAAGACGTCCCGTGGTTCGCATGTGAGCTGAATACTGCCAGGTTGCCCAGACCAAGGCAAATGTATTTTCTTGAGGAATCCACAACCGGAGCCTTCGACTATCCAAAGCCTGACCTGCAAGGTAGTAGAGCGGTGTGTGAAAACCGCAATCCATTGAGGACTGGTGTCCAGTTCATCGGATCATACGCCCTTCGGACGGGGTCAAACGTCCAAGGTGCCCAATACACCTCGATTCCCAATCAAGCCAGTGACCACTGCCACAACCGGAAAGGTGTGTGTGTGTAGTTTGTACGCCCCCTCTTGGTTGGTTTGGAACCAGGGTTTTTGGCCAACTCCCCTAGGTGAACTACCATTGGTCCATCAACTGGGTTATACCCCCGGATGTCGGCTTCTCGTCCTCTCGCTTTGGTAAGAAAACACCTCCGTCAGGCGAAGGCGGTAGTGAGTAGGGCTTCCTCAACGGAGGCTATTCGAGACGCTTGGTGGTGTAGGAGCATTTGGTGAGATGCAAGGGAAGGGTGACCAACCACAACCCAAGAAACCCACCCGTGACCATGCTGAGGTTTTCGGAGACGGTGGGACGGTGGGTACGCACTACTGATGAACTCTAATAAGAGCAAAACTGGAATCCAGTGCTTCCCGACGGTGGTTGACTTGATGAACAGATGATTGTGCGTAAAGGTGAAGTCCGAGATAGATAGTCAGCTCAAATAAATATCAAACATTCCACACCGCTACTCACAAGTAATCGTGAGTCAGATGCGAAATAATCAATCGGTACAGTAGTGATAGCATCCGTTCAGAGCACGTTGGCCGGCTTGATTTTTGCATGCCCAAATACTTAGCTCCTCGTTTCTTTTTTTTGTCGACAGTTCTGTGTTACGTTTACACAGCTTAGCATCGTAACCTACCTACCCATCCTATTTGTCACTCTTGCCTACCGGACACTTCTAGCGGTTCACAGTGGTCGTCTGTTTGTACTGGACATGGAGAGGAATCTGACGCGAACAGTCACATTGCGGAATCCACGAACAGATTGCAAGGCCTGCGGGGACGAGGCCACTTTGAATCCGGAGACCATACCGTCCATGGATTATGTGGAGTTTTGCGGCGCTCCGGATCACGACAGGGTAATGCTCGGTTTTAGTGTTTGACATTTCATGCAGTTATATAATTGCTTACCCATTTTGATAATCTGACTCATATTAGCCCATACTCAATAAGGTGGGTGGTAGTAGCGTAATGGTTTAGACGCTGTCATCGATTTACCTTGGACCCTGTGGTTCAATGTTCGAGCCCTGTCAACGCTACCCAATTTTGGTGGTGGGCAGCTTTACTGTTATCCGGTTCAATGCCACACCTGACCCAGCGGGTCCCCATGCGGTTCGCCACTCCAAGTCCCGTGGTTCCCAGGTTACCGGTTTCCATCACTTAACGCCACATCGTGGTTATGGGGTCCTCCCCATCTGCTGTTCATCACACTAAGACGTGTACATCCGAACCACGAGACGGATATATTATAAATCTCCATAGCGTGACTAACAACACCCATAGACACACATACACAGGTATTCAACGAAAGTCATTCCACCGGCGAAACTGCTTCCGTTGCGCACACACGTATTAAACAGTACTTCTTGACGGAAAATTCACCCTACCTCCCACATTTCACATCCTCGACTCGATTCACACACCGGTGGTTATCCGAATGCGGTGATAGCCAATAAGATCATTTATTTTATCGTCCTGATTAATCGTGTCTGTCAAATGGAGTTTCTCACGGATCGCAACTCAGATCCAACGAATTGCTTCTGTCAAATTGGTTTTCTTTAAAATCACCGTTCGACCCGAACGTGTCTGCTGATTAGCACCAAACAGAAACTATTCTTTCAACTCCATTCACATTCTCAACTATCCGTGTGTTCCCACTTCCTCACAGATTCGCACATTTTCAGTCTAATCAAGTGTTTTCTCGTTTTTTTGCTTGCATATTTCAGCCATCAAGTGTAAATTTACAACGTCTTCGGAACCGAATTACAGTGCAGGTAGGATTCTCATACCTTTACTTGTGACGAATTCGATCTGTGTACACGTTGAATAAAGTCCGTTCAGTTCATACCATACAAAAGCAGAATACGCAGGATACGATCATGGTTCCTGTAATGGACGTTCCTTCAAATTGGTGATGAGTTCTCGTCCTGGCCGAAATGCCCAACTGTGCGATGATGAAACAGTATAAACAGACCTTTCCACCTTTCGTTCATTGGTCTGTCTATCTGTCTGTCTGTGTCTACCAAAATGACTGATGTATGTATGTATTTATGCTCGTAGAATGGTCAGTAGACTTGCTGTAATTTCACAAGTCGCAAACATAGCGCATTGACTGTATCGATCCGTTCAGGGCTGTTGTGTCTGGCGGATGAACGTTTTCTGAATGTAGTCTAATACCTAATCATCGGCATTTGTTAGATCAGGGTTGCCTTTATGTACTCAACAGAATCATATGTTCAATGGACCGATTTGCGAAACTGGATAGTCACCGAGTTCCATGAAGTTTAGGGGCACTTTTGGTGAGTTTTTATAGAAATCCACCACTTTCGATTGTAGAAAGAAGTCCCTTGGAGCCCGGTTTCGCTTTCGCTAGTCGTCATGACCAGACGGTAGGAGCTCCTGCGGCACCTGTCTTTCGCATTCACAGTTCTGCGATAAAAACGTTGTCTTTGGTCAACTCTATTCAGCTCACGGTTGTATTCCTCACTGGGCGGAGTGATATTTGCAGCCTGTCGGTATGAAGGCAATTGTTGCGTTTTTCCCTCTCCTTCCGTTACAGGAACTA